CACAGATCGAAGTGTTATTTTAAGCCAAAGCCTTTTACATACTCAATTAAAATATCTATTCACCTTACACTTGTCTTTATTGCCGATTCTATTTTTAGACAGACGACACTCGTATTTGATGATTTCTGTATGCATAACATCTACCATTAGTGTTGAGGCATTCATTTACTTACTGATTTTCTTAAGCTTTTACTAAGTAATGTATTATAAACACTTATCAGCAATACTTTGGATTATATTTAGTCAGTATATCCAGGTGCACTGATGCAATGTCTGCATCTGCCAACAGCACAGGAAATATGTCATGGATGTTGTCCAAAATGTGCTCAGACTTGTAATTAAAAGTTGGCATTCCAATGTGTCGTTGAAAGATTTAATAGAAACAATCTGCAAAAACTTTGATTGAATAATGAAAAAAAGAAAAATATTATATAATCTGGATCTAAGGTGGCGATTTGGTCATTAATTTTCATTTGTTATAACCAAGCTTTCATACAATGCGTAACTACAGTCGACATACGTCTATGTTCAATATATTTACAGAGAATGATACGGTAACATGACCAGGTATAGAAATCAAACACTTTGCCTTACAACCTATAAACCCCTTCATGGAAATTTCTTTAATCGCACTTATTCGTCCAATAGAGCCAACTGCAAAATACACCACTACTGGTAAATTGGGTTTGTACATTCTGGGACGACAAATTGTCATACTATATACTATATGTCATAGCTGGAATGGGTGTCGTTGTCTGTATCATTGGGGGGAAGAGGAGGGGGTGGGGTCTGCATGAAAACTCATAAATCTACCTGTTAATAAGAGTCATATCTGGAGCACCTGAGGTCCCCCTCCCAATTGCTCAAGTTTTATTTTCTAAGTAGTGATTTCTAATTGTTGATCGTCTTTTCATCGTTTTTCTTTTTTGCCATTATGTCCGTTTTGTTGCACTTGTGACATTTTGTATTGCCTGCTTGATATCTTCCATCTCTTTTCACTACCAAGTGAGGGTATCAGTGTCGGTAACAGTAAACCGATGAACAACACGAATAGTATAGTATATCACAATGATACAAATTAAAATAGAAATACTGTTATCCTTTTTGCTAGTCGGGAAATTCGGTCAATGGCTTTGATGGTTTTCGGTTTTCAATTTATACATTTTAGTGTAATTTGATATATATCTAAAAAAAAAGTACAATACGATTTACCTACAAAACTATTAAATAATCTTGAACAATTAATAAGTTTGTCATATTCATCTGAAATATGAGATAAGAGAACACCACGGATATTTTTTATTGTTTTTTTTTTTTTTTATTGTTGACTGCATAACGTCCAGTAACATCAAGAACAAATAATCCAGATAAAGAGCGGATGAAGAAGAAAACTAGGTTTTGATGATAGGGGAGATTTTGATAACCTGAAACCAAGGGCATACAATTGGTAGCGTCAGAAATTTAGGTGATCAACAAGTCATCTTTAGATTCCTTCTAATAGGTACTGTCCTGGTTCTTTGAAACATGACTTTCTCTATGAATTTACATGTATATTCATAAAATTATCTTAATTAAACAGAGTTTGCATGTGTATTTATACATCCTCTATAGCTAAACAGATGCTCTTCAGTACAATTTATCCCATGCTAACCCAGGCCGGTATTAGTTTAGAAAAGTGATTTTAAAGGATAATTATTATATGACTTTGCACACTTAAAGTTAACTCAACCTTAAGCTAATCATTCCGAATGACACGAAACAAACTGGATCGGTCACATGCAATAAAAATGACAGTTTATGAAAACAACAACGGGTAATATTTGGATTTTTATGTCAGATACCATAAACTATGGTGACAGTTATTGCAGCTTATTACCAAGGGTTCTATAAATGTTTATGACAAGAATCTGGAAACACCTGTAACATTCTTGATGTTGCAGTCTCCAGGTATTTATTTACAATATCAGGACACGCCCTTTTAACTAGACTGTCAAAAACGAATTAGAATAATTACATATCCTATCATTACCTATGATACTAATTTTGATAAACTGTTATTTTAGGGAAGTAATTTCGTCAAATAAATGAAGTTGAAGATTAAAATGGACCGATTTGGTATTCAGATTAAGCACATACTGTTACTGCTAAGAGACATGTACTTATGACAGATTTACTAGGTGTTAAACGCATGTCTCCAACGACGGTGCATATTTTGAGGGGACAAACAAAACATAAATTCTTAGTCTAGTCAATAAAAATTACGTACAGTTTGATACATGTACACTGAAGGCTTTACCTGGAATATGATTTTATGATTCCTTGAATCCATGCCCTAAGAAGATTGCTCCCACCCAGTACAAGACTTCATTTTTTGTTATCATTTCTTATATAGATTAACCATCTCGCGTGAAAAAATCACAGGATTTTGCATTTGAACTGGCCTTTAAAACAAATACCAATCCTTTGAATGGCTAAACAAAATGCATTAAATATAAAAATAAGGAGATGGTGTATGATTGCTAATGAGACAACTATCCACCAGAATCTAAATGAAGTGGATGTAATCTTATTTCGTCAATGACATTGTTGATTGCTGTTAATTAAAAGTGTACATAAAGAAAACCAGCGCCATGCATTCCCCTGTGCTATGGAACAGTTAGAAAATATTCCAAGTAAAGCTATTAATCTAGCTATTTTAGGAAAAGATACAACAAATTTTGTATTTTGAATCGCTAGATGTCTCCCCAATTTGTTCTGCACGTAACGAGTATAAAATTGCTTATTCATATTCATTGATAAAGTTTCTCAAGTCGTCAGCATATCTAATTCATGGGAAACCTTGTATGGATATATTACAATTAATTGACACCTGTATATGACAGTTTGTCCTTGGAGTACAATTACGCATAATCATAATGCATAAAATACGTTTCAACAAAAACATCTTATTTCAATTCATGTTAGGAAGAATACATAGATCCTATGTAAATATGCTATAAAATATCATCTTTAATTGATACGTTCAAAAAGTCAACAATAACTGTCCGACCTTTGGCTATAAGACGTTTTATCAGTCATGATGTTTGATGAATTGAATGCATACAGTTTTCTTATTATTAGAAAACAGATGTTACACGTACACATTAATTTTCATTCAATTTGTGTTTTCTTAGATGTATTTGTAATTTACAACTACAGAGGCCTTTACGATTCGTAAATAAAGGGGAATCTTTATTACACGTTCATCAAAGACCGAAAGTTTTAGTGATGCGTGCATGTACAAAGACGACTTATATTTATGTCTGTTGATACTGGATCAGAAGCAAAGCTGACATAATCTTAAGACATTTCAAACGTCTTTTTTTTTTACTTTTATTCGTATGAGACTGTTTTGATGTAGAATATTGTTTCAACATTTCTTGTTTTTGTTATGTAATTCAATTTAATCTATTAAAAAATATGATGTACACGTATGCCCGTACACCATTTATTGCTTTTAAATGACATCCATTGGATGTTCTCTAATTTAAAGACAGAAAAAAAAAATACATGATATGGACATAATTCAGCTATGCAATTCTGTGTAGGGAGACATTGGTGCACTGGTTTGTTGTTTCAGCAATATTGAGGATACACACAATACAAATGTACAAAAAACAACATAGTATAAGAATAAGAATAAGAGAATAAGAATTTTATTAGTTTAAAATCCAAACAATAGGATTGTTACTAAATGAACAAACCAATACAAAACCAAAACAAAACAAACAGATAGACAGACAGACAGACAGACAGGCATATTCATGACAAAACGAATATATAGTATATGTGTTTTAAGTTTCATTTATAGAAAGCATTACCAGAAAAATGTGTTTGTCGAATAGAATTAATTGTTAACTTAATTAATGCCATTTAAACTCTCTTAATTGCAATGATCACAATTTGAAATTTAGACTTGTATTATGTTCTATGTCGAACCTAGTTCACACCATATTACCGGCTATCATAACGGCAGATATACATATAGAATCTGTTTTTGTTGTTGTTTCCGATTGTCATTCAAAACAAGTTTTTGCTATCGTGTACAGCATGTTTTGTCTGCCGTTCAGATTGCCATTGCAATATAATGTATTTTGCAATTGAGTACACCGGATTATTATCGGTGTTGCCTGTTGCAGCTGCAGTACCGATAGTGGTGATACTTAAATTTATTGAAATCACTTTCTTGTAGGGCAACAAGATTTGTTTTATCATACATTAACAAGAAGATAAGCGATTACATTAAAGTTGAAAAATTAAAAACTGCAAAGTCATGAATTCCTAACACTACGCTAGTACATATTTGTAGAGAAAGTCTCGGGGCAATGTACTTTTCATTCATACACATCTTGATGAATTCTTTGGTAGATTAATATTTTTATGACAAGTTGTATTATAACGGAAGTTCATCACCCTTTAGCAAATTATTAGTGACATATGCACGAAAAATAAATGTAAATTTAATTCGAGGATGATTATGTCTAATTTTTCAGAGTCCACCAATTATATTATGTGTCGTTTTCTACGGTTAAAATGATACATAATGTTACTAAAGTGACAATAAAAATTTAGAGCATGTGAAAGGTGAAACGCTTTGGTGCATATCTATATTTGTAATTATCAACATTGTATACATATTAAAATATATATAGAGGTAACCTGAGGATGCCTCAGTTTGGAGCACGGCTTTAAGTATGATGGATAACGATCAGCAGCTAGTATTACAGGATAATATAAAGCTCAAACATCAAACTAAGTGTAGGTTCTGGCATACAGACTGAGTATATGATTTTGATGAAACGTGCATATAGCATGACCTGGCACTGACTGTTCTTGTCTATACAGCTGATCATCCATACGCCACACGAAGAGTTATATTTACAAACATAATAAAAAAAACAGTTCTATTTGTTTATACAAAATAAAAAAAATTAAACGGAATACAAAAAACCTGAACTTACCTTCTCGCCATTTACGTATGCAACACAGTCTCTCCCTGTAGCACCATGGAAATATTTTTTCTTCAATTTTCTCCATAACATATCACAGTTTTCGCGGGAATATATGTCTTTTTCTGTTAATTCTTGGATATATTCAAGATTTTTGTGAATACGTTTTAATTTTTCTGAATCTCTTAAAAGTAAGTTCCTCATCCGAATTGCACGTCCCTGATTATCTACCCGGAAACTGTAAAGCCATTGTTTAAACGGCTTGTTTCGTCTATTATTCACGTATTGTTCAATATAAACATTGAAAGAATCTTCCAAAAATGGTATGTATACTGGACGAATGACCGTTTGTAATGACAGATGTCGTCTGCCCGAGGGAACTTCATTTGTAACATCTAAAACATATTGCTGATGGTTGCTATAATATCCTGGCAATAATCTGGATAAAATTTTCAAATCTTTCTCCAAACGTGACGAAAAAGACGGATATGCACAAAAAACGAGAAGCAACTGAGAAATAATACACAAAGAAAAAATAAAATAATGAATTGATGTTAAAAAAATCATTTTTAAACCGAATGAACGATTGAATGAATTTCACTTCATATGATAGTAGTAGTATTGCACACCGATGTTATATACTACGGTTACAGTGTAACATAGATTATCCGTGGTTTAAAATATAAAGTTACCTTAGTCAACGATTATAGCTGTAGCTTTCGTGATTACAGAGGCGGTAACGAAAGAAATATGATATTTTATATCTCGCAGGTATGATTTTCATGACCTGGTTTCTACAACTTAGTACTATCGTTTAAAAAACTAAACGTATTGTTTCTGGTAATATTCAGAATTACTAAGATAAAATGCATCTATAAGATTCGTATTTATAATACTTATCTCACTGAGGCTACAAGCAGATGCATTTCTTTTTTCAAAAGCAACTAAAATTTTGTTCAGCTGGACTTTGTCATTAGTAAAGTTGTAACATTGACCAAAATTGAAATGTAATGATTTAATTAAAGTTTACCTCACAAGGTAGTGTTTAATTAACCTGTTTTAAATTTCTGGTTTTGATTGGAATGCTACAAAGACAATGCGTAGTTTACACATGCATTACTTGAAGTGGATATAAGGTGTGCGGACCAATTTGCCCGACGTACGTTCCCTTTAAGTTCTTGTTTGGTTCTTTGAAATCTGCAAATATTATCATTTGTTTTGATTTTTTGGAGGAGGCCAGTATTTAAAAAAATAATGCTGGGAACATAATGGTGACGTTGAATCCGGTTTCACGTCTCCTGTTTAAGACCCCTGGCAAAAACTCTTTGGGGGCCTATAGATTGCCTGTTTAGGTGTATGGCTTTCTAAATTGTCCTACATTCATGTCGGTCAATCAACTTTGAAGGAGATACCTATTGTATTAATTGATAATTATATGGTGAATATGCCTCAAATATTTGTCACTGGACGTTATACAAGAAACCATCAACCAATTAAATTGATACGATGTCAATGTGTATATTCATTTCTGGGGGCGATATTGATGCTTAAAGAAAAAGGTTCAAAGAATATTTTACTGTAGTCCAATTAATTATCATATTATATACTACTTCCGTTTTATGAATGAGAGGGACCGTTGATTGACAGAGTCGTAGTAAATGAAATACTATACAACATCAAGAATATATAGGAAATTGTAGGTAAAATAAAGAATTAATGAATGAAAATTGAAGTGGAATGTAGATATTTCCTGTTGAAGGTACTTATAAAGGATTGTTACATCCCTTGTTTTTCTGTTTATTCCGTTAGATTTCGTGATTGTAAAATGACCATTTAACCTCGTACAGTAGATATAGTATATTTATAAATTTAAATGCATATTACTCTTGTATGTTTTAACGTCAATAGACGAAGGGTGAAGGTTTCACATAAAAAGAAGAAGAAAACAACTTTGCTATATACGAGGACAATTTGACGTATACAACCATTGGTTGTCAATTTAAAAATAAGAAGATGTTGTATGATTGCCAATGAGAGAACTTTCTAGAGACCAAATGACGTAGAATTTAACAACTATAGGTCACCGTTCGGCCTCCAGCGATGAGCAGAACCCATACAGCATAGTAAGCTATAAAAGGCCCGGCAATTACAAATGTGAAACAATTCTTTTTTTATTTTTCTTTCCATTATACTATGTAGTAAACTGAAAGCTGAAATTAAATTAGAAGGCTACCTTAGAAAATAAAAAAATCATAAAAGTCGTTAATAATTTACAAAGATTCGTATGAGAAGGGGCTACTTCCTATATACAAATATACAAGGTGATAGGACGTGCCGCTGGAATAGGTCACATTTTCCAGCTTGAAAATATGCGAAAAGGTGGGGAAAACTATCAGAAATATATGATAAGGTCGATAAAGTTCCCGTTACTTGCTATATGAAAAGCCCTGTAACTTTCTTGGTGTTCGCGGCTGTGTTTTATCCACAAATTTTCCCTCATTTGACACTTTGATATTCCACTTTTCCACCACACCACACACGAAACCCATACAATATGGGAAAAAAGGTTATATTTTTACCTACGCAATATATGAAAAGGTATACATTTTAAAAATCTAAATTAAATGTAAAGGGTGGGATAACAGAACCCCAGCGACACCCCTATCAATTCAGTATTGAAGTGCATCCCCCCCCCCCACCACCACCACCACCACCACCACCACCCGAGCTAATACATAAAGAAAAGTCAGCCTAAATTTAACCATCTTGACGCGATTTCAAAGAGGAAAATTCTCATTATTCCATTGTTGCATTGTTGACTATGTAAAGCCTTCTTAAGAATTGCGAGCGTCAGGTTCAGGAACCTCATCAGCAGTTGTCGTATGTCATATCTCAAAGTGTTTCGTTATCTGTAGAATTGTGCGTTAATGACTGATCTTTGATTGTTCCTCTTAACTTTATTTGTTGACAGCTTTAATTGACTGTGGACGATTTAGAGCTTTAAATGGTGTATACATCAGTCTATTATTAAAAACTTGGTTTACCCTCTAAATGGCTTTTGGTTTAATATTTTTTGTAATAATATGGTCGCGGTTTCATTGAAGTTTACCTAACATTTCATTTTGTTCATATCTTCATTGGTCAATTACCGTATATATACTTATTAATAAATATGATGGATGCTTTGTTCATGTTGTGTTTTGAGTTACAATAAAAGAAATAACACCGGCTTTGTAATTCCGTGCGTCCGAATAAAGCTTATTACATAATACAAATTACAACCTGTTGTATATATATAAATTTGTCATGTATAGTAACCGTTATATTCTTATTTTTTCGGTTTTTGATACTATTCTTTTGCATTCCTAATAAAACAAATCCTTGCCTATACCTGACATGCATATGCTTATTTCTAAACATCGTAACTACTAACCGAACAACATTACATGTAAGAGGACGGACGCTTAGTTGTTTGTCCTCCTCTACTTAAGACTAACTACTTACCAAACAGCACACTATTTATGAGAACGGACCCTATGTTGTTTTTCTCATTGAGACGTAGCTTACCGAACAGCATGGCATGTATGAGAACAGATCCTTATTTGTTTGGCTTTGTCGCCTTCAGACGTAACTATTTATTGAACAGCATGTTTGAGAATGGACCCTTAGTTGTGTGTCTTTCTCTCCTCGAGACTTGTTTTGAATTTAGTATTTGCTTGTTCTCGTAGTTTATATATATCTTAAACTGTATTATCTTTATTATCTTCTATTAATTTTCTTATCCATATGTATTATATACTTATTTCGGCTAAAAGGCTCGTCTTATTTCCGTGTATCTTTGTATCTTTGTATATATATCAAGATAATCAAATCACTCTACTTTCATTTTTATTTCATTTTGATGGTAAGCCTTTGACAATGGATGTGGTTAAGTTCCTTTCAGAATAAACAGAAACTCCGATTTACAATTCTCTCTCTAAATTATGGCATATCACTGCTTAGATGGTTCAATATTTTCTTGACAAATACTTTGACAAAATCAAAGACATTTTAACATGTGAGGTAGAATAATCGCGGACATAAACTCAAATTTACGAGACTTAAATGTGAATTCTTTCACTACAAAATACGTTTGTGTGTACAAAGATGTGGTTTATGTTAAATTTAATGGTCCATACCTCTGACATGAACATTTGATTCTTTATTTACTGTAGGTATAAAATTATGGTTTATAGTTCTGATATCAAATATCTCATTGTCAAGAAATTAGTCCATAGCAATACATCATCTTTATTTTTGAATGAATGTTTTTTACATAGTGTCAAAAGTAGCTAATAGTTACAATTATATCTACATATGTAAATACGTATATATAAAACACCAACAGTTTAAAAGTAATTGTTAAGTTGTAAATATAACAGTTTATTGACACATTGGTCAATAAGTTTGATGTCATATTCAATACAATCTTAAACGCAGAAAAATATGATTCTGATGTTTATCATGCCACACCCTATTACCGTCTATCATTACGGGAGATACAATAGAATCTGTGTTACCGATTGCCATTTAAAACAACTGTTTTTGATATCGTGTATACAGTAGATTTTTTTTCCGATTACCATTGCAATACAATGGCTTTGGCAATCTTGGACAGTAGATTTTGGTCAGCTATTCCGATTACCATTACAATACAATGTCTTTGGCAATCTTGGACAGTAGATGTTTGTCAGCTGTTTCGATTACCATTACAATACAATGGCTTTGGCAATCTTGTACAGTAGATTTTTGTCAGATGTTCCGATTACCATTGCAATATAATTGGACATTAGATTTTTTGTCAGCTGTTCCGATTATCATTACAATATAATTGGACATTAGATTTTTGTCAGCTGTTCCGATTATCATTACAATACAATGGCTTTGGCAATCTTGGACAGTAGATTTTTGTCAGATGTTCCGATTACCATTACAATACTACGGATTTTGCAATCTTGGACAGTAGATTTTTTGTCAGCCGTTCCGATAACCATTGCAATACAATGTCTTTTGCAATCTTGTACAGCAGAATTTTATTTTTGTTACCTGTTGTCTCTGCAGTACTAACTGCCGGTAATAGGACGTGTGTACTGTCTATATGTTTTATATAATTATGATGTACTGTGTTGCTTCTATACATGTATACCATTTCCTATTTCAATTATGTATATTTTCAGAGGATCGTCCGTATTGAATTACGCCCAACAATTAGTTTTATAACTTCTTAATTATTTCTTTCAAACAGTGATAATTGAACTCGTGAACAGATAAACGGCAATACCACCAGCGCCTTTGGTAAGTCGGATGATGCCTTTTCTCGTCGGTTTAATCTAGGGTTATATAACAGTATACGTACAATGTAGTAGCTTGTTGGAGATGGTTTGTCTGTGAAATTAAAGTTTATTTTATTAGATTGCAATCACGAGTTGGTTAACCGTTATGGAATAACCGTTTCACAGATGATATCGGATATGTTCCTTATGTCGTAACTACAATACCCTTCCCTTTTCACGAATGTGACCTACCGAATTAGACTATTTACCGGATTTGTAATAACATAAGCAATACGACGGGTGCCACATGTGGAGCAGGATCTGC